ATCCTGCTAGTGTTGGACTGGCTACAAATTTCCTTTCAGTAATATTCAAAGTTTTGCTAGCTACATTTAAAGTTTCTAAGAGCTGAGCATCAAGCAGATATATTTCCGAAATTGTAGCAGCAGAAAGGTTCTCATTTCTATCAAATCAATAATAGAATGATGTTTGATGAAACAAAGATAAATATCCTTTAAGGGGGGCAGTTAATTTAAACTGTGAATTCTGCTTTCACCATCACCCCCCCAAAAAAATAGTCTTCCACTGATTGGACAAAATATCATTTATTGTGGCAAGCTTTTGCCATAGGAGGCAAATGACATTTGAAGTGATGAATCTGGTTTTTATCTGCTGAAGCTGTCTCTAATTTTATATTGCCTTATAGTGTTTGCCTTACTTTGTATAAATAATTGTGATATATTAATTGTTGCAAACCAGCTGAATAATGCATTGCATTAGAAGAGTTGGATGTAAATCTGCAGAGGGAAACTATATAAAAGAAACTCTTCTCTTCACAAGTATTTGTTGCATAAAGAAAGCCTTACTTATAGAGAAGAGTTGAATTCCCCTGAGTTGTCCTATTCATGCTTTCCATTAAATTTATTCCATTAAATATGTGGGTTTTATTTTCAAATTGCACATAACAACCGGTTCGCCCAGGGACAGGTTGGCTGTTGTGGGAGGTGTGACCCATCCCCATCCTCCAGCTCTGCCGCACATGTGGGATGAGCCACCCACAATGGCCAACCAGACCCTAGGTCAGGGATCAGCAAACTGCGGCTCTGGAGCCGCATGTGGCTCTTTCTTCCCTCTGCTGCGGCTCCATCACAGGTTGGTGCCACAATTTTGAGAGGAGCTTCCAGTGGGGGGGGAGAAGCACAGTGCGCCAGGAGAAGACTCTATGGCAAGGGGAGGGTTTTCCAGTTGTCTCCACAATTGATAGGGCTTTCGGTTATGACNTCACACAAACCCACTCCAGAGTTTAGGGAAGGAAGATACATCACAGGTTTTGGTGTGAGTCTATTCGGTCTGTGAAAAACCCTCAGATATTGGAAATTTCCACCGGTTTCTTCTCCAGCCGATGCAGGTCAATTCTCCCATTTAATGGGATTTGAACTTCCAAACCCTCGTCCCCTCTGTGGTATTTTTTCCCCTTCCTGAGGCAAATATAAATCCCCATGCCTGTCACCAGGCTGATGGAACTCAAGCTGATGATGGAGAGGGTCACCAGAGTAGGCATGCAGGATACGGCCTCTGCTCTCCTGTGGGTGGGCTCTATGGAGATTTGGGGTTCCTTCTCCTCAATGTTGATGTCGGACTCTCTCCTCAGAAGGCTCTCGATGTAGCTCTCGTTGCTCACGGTGTCGTTGACGAAGAGGTTCACCATGACGGTGGAATGCAGAGGCTCCGGATAGCCGTGGTCGCTAACTTTCACCAGGAGGCGATGAAGGCCGTAGTCGTTCTGCATGAGCGACTCTTCCAAGGTGATGTTGCCCGTTTTGGGGTCGATCTTGAAGGACTCTGGCCGAGGGCCTCTTCTCCCGATAATGCTGTAGGCGATGACAGCATTCATGCCGGTGTCGTTGTCGATAGCGTAGACCTCTGTGATAGGCGAACCAGGCAATGTAGAAGGAAGCACTAGAAGGTAAGACATGTTAGACTGGGGAAACAAAACCAAGGGGGGGTTATCATTTATGTCTAGTAAAAGGACGGTGATTTTAGCCGTCGAGGACAAGGGGGGGTCTCCCCCATCCACGGCTTCAACCCACAAGACGTAGGAGCTCTGCTGTTCCCTGTCTAGCGAGACCTTGGCTCTTAAGACACCTTTGCCAGTGTCAATCACAAAAATATCACTTCTGTTGACCACAGAAAGGGCCACCCATCCATTTTGCCCGATATCTGCATCGGTGACGCTTATAACTCCAATTTCCCCGAAGCCCGGGAAATTCTCCGGTACGAAGAAACTGAAATCCTTGTTGATAAATCTGGGGCTGTTGTCATTTTTATCCAACACAGAGAGGGTCACGGTGGCGATGGATTCTCGTGGGGGCATGCCAGAATCCACGGCTCTGACGGTGTAGCGGTATTTCTCTCGTTCTTCTCTGTCCAGCTGGGTAGAAACGGTAAGGATCCCCGTCACTTTGTCTAAGGAAAAATAGGAAGGTGCCTCGGGCCCAAGGAAGTAGGACACTTGGCCTCGTTCTCCGCTGTCGGCATCCGTGGCATGCAGTTTGGTCAAAAATGCATTGGGGGCATTGTTTTCCTCGATCGATAATTCTACCAAGGCTTCCGAGAAAACGGGAGAGTTGTCGTTATCATCCAGAACCTGCACTTTGATGATTTTATTGACATGAAACCCCTCTGTATTCCACGCAACCACTGAGATCTCGTACAACTGCTGAACCTCGTAATCCAAGGCCTTGGTAGTCTCCAAGAGATACTCGTTGCGATAAGGTTGGTAAGGGGTCAACTGGAAAGGGCCATCCCCCTCCAAGTAGCAGTCGACTTTATATTTTTCATCAGGGTCCTTGATGGTAAAAAAAGCAATGGGGGTATGGATGGGCTCCAACTCCCTCAAGTAAACCACCCCTTCAGCTTCGTTAGCTATAAAGCGAGGGAGGACTTCAGGAGGTCTCATGGTGACTTTGACTATGGATACCAACACGGTGATCACCGCTGGGATGCAACCGGGGCCGTTGGCCAACACACTCAGCCGGTGCAGAAGAGGTGTGTCCCCGTTAATCCTCTTGAACAATTTAATCACCCCCGTGCTTTCGTTAAGACGGAAGAGGGTGCGGGATAGAAAAGGAACTTTCTGGCTGTAGGAATAGGTGATCTCGGCATTGATTCCGTGATCAATATCAACAGCGTGGACCGAAGCGATGTGCAAGCCAATGCTAGAGTTTCCAAAGATGGTGATGCTGATTTGAGTCTCATTGAACTGGGGACAGTTGTCATTAATGTCACTGATACCAATGGTGAGGGTGGCACTGCCCACCAGTGGCGGAATTCCACCATCCTCTGCAATTATAAGAGTAACATACTGGTCGGTGGACTCCCTGTCCAGGGCCCCCATGACAATAAGATAAGGTGTTCTTTCTCCGCTTTCATTCTCCTCCACGTCCAATGTAAAAACCCCATAATCTTCTTGGAGCTGGTATGTCTGCACCCCATTAGTCCCCATATCTGGGTCCATAGCCGGATGCTCTATAGCTAACCGCGTATTGATGGGCGAATTTTCAGGCACAGAGAGGTGAATCTGCGGCGCAGGGAACCAAGGTGCATTATCATTGATGTCATGGATGGCAATCTTCACCTTGACCAGACGGAAATACTCCTGGGGCAACACCAGAACATCTAGCAAGAGCAAGCATGACTCCAAGGATGGAAGTGGAGAAGACGACGAGGACGAGACCACAGTGGAGTCAACATTATCCTCCAAGCAGAGGGTTTCTCGGTCAATTTCCTGAGCTGAGGTGCACAGGATACCGGTCTGATTGTCCAGGTTGATGTATTGGCTCCCCAGTCCTTGGGAGGCAAAGCTGAAGGAAAGAGGACTTTTCCCCCATTGGTCAGTCTCCTGCTTCCTCACCAGTCCTCCCTTTCCTTCTCCCTCCGCAGTCCCCACGAGCTGTAAATCCTGGGCCAGATTCCCAATGAGGAATCCAGCAGGGAGTCCTTCATTGATGCTGTAGAAGAGTTCGCTGGCACGACTGTAGCTTGCGAAGCAGTTAAAAGGTTCCAAGAAAAGCAGGAAAATGAACACGTTCTGAGGGGAAAGAGAAGCACAGGTTGTTAGTAGAAAGAACACCTTCCTCGGTCACCCCTAGAGATGTCCATCCCCTACCTCCAACTCACCCCAAGAGAACCATGTCTGGCGTCAATCAAGCCAACCGTCTTCTCAATGCTCAGCACCCTCATCTCAAAGCCTGAGATGAACCTGCAAATTCAGGTTCAACCTGCCACGGATCCTTCATTTCCAGATCCCCAACAGATATGGCAAAGGAAGAGAGACAAACTCATAGCCAACAACAATCCTCTCTTTTTGCTATCTGCTCGGGGTGCCTTCAACCTTCCCCACGAAGCGATGGATGCCATCAGGTTTAACCATACATTTTTATCCACCCCCTTGCTTAAGAGGAAACCCATTGAAAAGAGGAGAAAGGGGTAATAGATGCCTACAAAACGTGTCCATCAAGGATCCAGTTTACTAACGTTGCCACATTGCCCTACATGGAGCATTCAGACAGAGGAATAATCCTGGGGAGTGAGGACGGGGAGAATGCAGATGTTTTTAACTTCCAATCCTGTCAATCTTCCCCCTTTTCTTAAAACACATCAACCTGTTGGTCAAAGGATAAGCAGATTATCCCAGAGACACAAAGACACCGGAATGGAAGAATGACGACCCTTAGATTGCAAATATTGTCACTATTTGCATGAAAGGCATTATTAAAACAACAACAACAACTTGAAAACACATCCTGCGAGCAAAATATATATATGCAGTCCTGCCACAACCCCTTTCCCCTTGGAGGTGCAATTTCCCCCCCTTCTCTTAAGCAACTACCCCCTTACACAACCAAGGAAGCAAAAGCAAAATCTACCAGCCATGTGTAACTTTCCTAACAGGAGGAGACCTCTTGGAGTTTGCAGGCGGACCTGGCAACTTAGAGAGGCACCTGGCAAACTCCTTTGCGGCTTGGAACTCTTCGCTTGGAAGCAAAAGGCTGCGAGGGCTTATTTCCAAATCAATTGGCAGAGGTTCAGGCTGCAGGTAAACTGGGACTTTTTAGGCTGCCCCCTCCCACCTCCATTCCCCACACCCATCACAATCACACCGGCATGGGATGGCCACCTTGAGCAAGGATATTATGTAGGACAGCAACATGCGCAATTGTAATCCGGAGGCTCCAATAGGAGGTTAATAGCAGCAGGAGACTCCTGTTGCTTTTCTTTCTTTCTTTCTTTCTTTCTTTCTTTCTTTCTTTCTTTCTTTCTTTCTTNCAAATGTTTATTCATCCATCCAAACTGTAAATATGATGCCAAATGCACCAAACCAGATTGTCCTTATACTCATGCCAGTCGACGGGCACCACAACCACCTCCTAAACAAGGTAAGATTTTCTTAATATTTTTAAAAAATGAGCTGTCTTAGAATATGCCAATGTCAGCAAACTCAAATCCAAACCCTCATAGACTTTATAACAGCTAGTGGTATTGTCAAAATAAAACTGCTGCTTAAGAACAGCCACTAAATTCCAATTTGTTTGAACTATCTGGTCATATCTAGTATGGTCAAAAGGAGTGGAGGATGTGGGTCCAGTTCCAATGCCTTGCTCATCAAATACTGATCATAACTTGGGATAAGGCGTTAATGGGAACCCCTCTTTCTTCATTTCTGCAGTGTGATGGGGCCAGCTTCAGTCCTGAGCAAGAATTGCTCTGTATGCACAGAATGCTAAGACTCCCCCCTTTCTAAAGCAATCATGGGCATTATTCATGCCACTCTTTCTCATGACTTATTCATAAAACTGGCAGGAAATCTATTATTTTTTACTTTTTGAAAATCACAGCAGTGTCTGTTGAATTCCATAATGACCTCCTATCCTGCCAGTGACTAGGTCAAAATTCAGCAACCAGCTGTGTGATCTTCCATAATTATATATTGGGAATAGTAAGAGCCACCAATTAAAATTACATACATATATGGCAATACTCGCAGTTCTTTAATTAAATAATTAAATATCAAGCTTTTGAATAATTAAGGAATAGCTGTTTCTTTTTCATTGGTTTAACAGTTCCAGCTCCAGCCCCACCAGCATCTTCTACCAGCCAGCTTTGCCGCTTTTTCCCTGCGTGTAAGAAAATGGAATGTCCTTTTTACCATCCCAAAGTATGTATCGTAGATTGAGTTATACAGTGTGTGTGTGTTGTGTGTGTGTGTATATATATGTGTGTATATATGTGTGTATATATGTATATATGTATATATACATATATATTGTTACAACCCCTGGTATGCCCAATTATGGGAGGAAGCTAACTGCTTCCATTCTCTGTCCATCGGCTCGTCACAAGAG